GCTTAGAGAGGGCTGAAAGCCCTATGAAGCGGTATATAAGTCTAACTGCTATTGCTGTTGCTATTCTTCTCCTTCTTCTCACTTTCTTTCTCCTTCTCCATTTCTTCTCCTTCTTCCCTTCTCTTCTTAAACCATAATCCCTCCTAGCACTGATAATGTTATCTAGTTGGGTCATGAAACGTCTGCAAGAAAACCACCAAGCTCAGAGAGCACCAAGCCCCTCACAGTTCTTCTCCTTCGCCTTTGCTTCCTCCTTCTCTTCCTTTCCCTTCCTCTCCTTTTTCTCTTCCTTAAACCATATTCCCTACTAGCCCTGATGATGTTACCTAGTTGGGTAATGAAATGTCTGCAAGAAAACAGCCAATCTCAGAGAGCACCAAGGACCCCACAGTTCAACCAGAGGTGGGTTCCTATTGGTTCGGACCAGTTCAGCGGATTAGGTAGTAACTCAGCCGGACACGCGCCTGAACCAGTTCTATCCTTGGGGTCGACACCTTGATTTTTGTTCTGCACATGCATAGAACAATCTTCATTGAAAAAAATTATCCATTTATCCTGTTCTAATGTTGTGCATATACACAGATCTCTTTAGGCGCAAATGCGCAGAACCGGTAGTAATGCCGACAAGAACCCACCCCTGAGTTCAATCCTGAGCTACAAATACTATTGATAGAAGAGTTTGGCAAAACCAGGCATGCCTCACCTTGCTCGGTCCATTTCAAATTTGTGGCAGCTCTGAATATGGAACATCAGATCTCCCCCGTTGAGGTACTCCATTAGAAAGAAGAGGTTCTCCTAGCAAGGGTCAAAAGAATGACCGTTAGTACTTGGGCAACAGCTCTAGGGCAGGGGTGTCAAAATCAAGGCCTCCTGGGCCAGATCTGGCCCGTGAGGGGTGCTTAAATCCGGCCCATTGAGCTGGCCTGGAAACATTAAAGGACCGGCCCGCAGTGCCTCTGGCTGCTAAAATGGGCCCGGTGCGTCCCTGCGCCTCGTTTTCACTCTCCATGGCCTCCTGCAGCATTCTGCCTGCCGAAAATGGCCCGAAAAAGGGTCCGAAAACCACAAAATAATGGGCCCCAAAACGAGCCATGTGCATCCCATGCCTCGTTTTCACTTTCATGGCCTCCTGCAGCATTGCTGGCCAAAAATGTCCCCAAAAATGCCTGAAAACAGGCCGAAAATGGGTTAAAAATGGACTCCAAAATGGCCAAGAAGATGGGCCAAAAATGGGGCCGCGTGGCCAAAAACAGGCAAAAACATACCTGAAAATGGGCCAAGAATAGGACCCAAAATAGCTTGAAAACAGACCCAAAACCCACCCCAAAATGGCCCAGAAAACGGTGCCACACATCCAAAAACGGGCCAAAACCTGCTCAAAAATGGGCCGAAAACTGGCCAAAAACGGGGCCAAAAACAGTGCCGCATGTGGCCCGTTTTCAGCTGGCAGAGTGTTGCAGGAGGCAGCCGTCCCCCACCACCTCTCCCCCACATCCCACAGAGGAGAACTACAATGCTGATCCAGTCCTCGAAGAAATCCAGTTTGACACCCCTGCTCCAGAGGCAGTAGCTGTATGATTTGGGCAGAGGTGGGTTCCTACCGGTTCGGCCCAGTTCGGCCGAGTAAGTAGTAACTCAGTCGGACACGTGCCCAAGCCGGTTCTATCCTCGGTGCCGCCATCTTAATTTTTGGTTCTGTGCATGCGCAGAGCAATCTTCATTACAAACATGAAATTTTCTGGCGTGCACTTGAGCTAAGCAAGCGCACGCAGAAAAAAATTGTGCGCCGAACCAGCAGTAATGCCGGCAGCAACCAATCCCTGGAGTTGGACAAAGCAGATGCTTGATTCATGTATATATCTAACCTTAGTTTGGAAAGTGCAGAAGACGTGGGTGAGAAATGGGTGCTCCCAAGCCAGCGAGAGGACGCGCTTCTCCACCATGGTGCATTCGACATCATCGTCCATCAAAACCACCTCCTTCTTCAGGGCTTTCATGGCGAAAAACTGGTTTGTGGTTTTGAGTTCGACAAGGAAAACCTGGAGCAAAAAATTACACATAGCAGCAGGTTAGACAAGCAGAATCATAAACGTCACAAGATAATTCACACACACACAGCCCTGAGGGCATTGTATAGATTTGCAATCAATTGTGGCTCTGTACGTACCCCTATATTAGGTCTACAGGTAGTCCTTGACATACGACTGTTCATTTAGTGACCTGTTGTGGCCCAGCAGGAGCCATTGGAGCTGCCACCAGACTCCGACAGCGAAGGGCCCTACGAGTTGGCTCTGGAGGATGTGGAGGAC